GCTGTTTTAGGCGTTCTTCTGGATATTTTCATAATGAAATCATACACTGAAGTAATGACTTCAAGACCTTGTTTGAAGGAAGAGCTCTGATGGCATAATCTGTAGAGAGTTTTGCTGTTAACCTGAAACTCATCCCTCTCTGGCCATTCAGATCCACCAGTGTCACCACAGGAGAAAGATGAGCAGTCTCTTTCCAAGCATTTTATAGCCTTGGAAAACATGCTAAAGGGTCATTTATGAGTCAGTTCCAACTTGACATCAATAAGTTTTTTAAATTTTGTTTGAAATAAGATAGAGTCTATGTTAGCGTCTATGTTAGAGTCTAACGGTCTTAGGGAGCTCTCATGGCCTACTGTTAAGGAGCTGTGCTGTAATATTAAAGGCATGCTGTTCAAATCCACTGCTGTTGCACAGGAGAAAAATGGGGAATCGCCTCTCATGCAATTAAAGCTGCCTCTGAAAACCCACTGGAGGGCAGCTTTGGGTCTCTTCTAACTCAAGGGTACACCACTACCACATGTGAGACCATAATTTGGTAGCTGATAAACCTTTATTGAGATAATGTCCTTCCAAGTACTCTTACTCATTTAATACTTCTCAATGTATTTGTTACCCTGGCTTAAACTGCTCATGATATTACAGACAGAATTCTTGTTGAACAGAGACCTTTTAAAAAAATATTTCAGTTTTTTAATTAATTTTAATGAAAGTTTACCAAGACTTAGGGTTTCCATTCATTCGTTGTTGCACTTTTCTCCCTGCCCTCCCCCACCCTCCCAATTCACTCTTCTCCTTGAAAAGTAAAAGAAAAACTCTTTCGTTGTTACGCAGTCCCTCCCCCCAAGTCTCCTTCCACTGTGCAGCCTTCATTCTGGACTCCTGTCATGACAATAATACCCAATCATATATCCCTTTTAAACAGTTCTCTCCCTCATCTGTTTCAATGCAGTATACATCATTCATCCCCTCCTTCTCTGTCTTCCCTCAACCCTGATGTCAGTCCCATTTCACAACAGGGGCCCCATGCAACATTTGTCCTTTTGTGACTGAGATATTTTACTCAGCATAATGTCCTCCAGGGTCACCCATTTTAGTGTCATTTGCTATGGTGATCATAGATAATAGAATAGGGCTTGATTTCCATATAACTCATAAAGGGAGAGAGAGATTATTTTATTGCTAATACTTCCTTAGATGCTTGGATAAACACCATTGGAAAAGAGCAAGACATCAAGAAAATTTTGCCAAAAAAAGCTACTTGACTCCATTCAATACATTATATGTCTCAACTCTCTTTTTTCAAATATTTTTAGTTGCCTCGTTTTTTATTTCACACTGACATAATTGTTTTCATTTTTTCACTGACAGTTATAGGACTAATGATATGTTATATGAAATGTTTATCTAACACCTGCAGATCCACTGTTGTTGTTGTTGTTAAGTGCCATCAAGTTGCAGGTGACTCATAACGACCCTTTGAAGGAGAGTCCTCGAAGCTTGGGTGCCTTTTATCCTCTCTCCAGGTTCATAGGGTTTCTGGAGGCAAGCTATTTATGGAAGTGGATGCCACTCCTCCTTCCAAGCTTGTTTTAATCGGGGAGCTCCACCCTACTCTCTGTCCGCATTGGGTAACCAGCCATTAACACATTTGACATACCAGTGTCACAGTGTTCAGCCTCACAGCAACCACAAGTGACAGCTGTTCCGTAACTTGTACACCAGGGCTATATGACCTAGAGGAATGTCTGAACAAAAACAATGAAAGACAGGCCTGAGGGCCGCAGATTAAAAGTCACCCACCTTCAGCTTGATAGCATCGCCTTCTGTCCACTGGACCAGCTAATCTCTCTCTCTGTTGATGTTATTGTTGTTAAGTGCCATCGAGTTGCAGATGACTCATAGCGACCCTGTGAAGGAGAGTCCTCAATGCTTGGGTGTCTGTAATCCTCTCTCCAGGTTCATAGGGTTTCTGGAGGCAAGCTATTAGAAGTGGATGCCACTCCACCTTCCAAGCTGCAAATCCACTAGCTCTTACAAAAAGAAATATATTTTGAGGAAGCATTATTCTTAGAAGAAACTGACTTTAGACCCCAGTTTGACTTTGTATCACCTATGTGTGCCTTCTTTTATATTTTTACACATATATTTTTAAATTTTACCTTAGTTGACATACAAAATTCATATACATTGTTTCATTCATATACATTGTGTTTCACCCATTGTTTCACTCATATTATTTTCATAGAATCATTCCCATACATTGTGTTTTAGAAAACCAATCACCATTGATCTATTTATTTCTATTCTTACTCTTAAAATCTTTACTAAGATCTAGCCTAATGAAGGAGACCTACCTTTCCTCTCTGGATATTGAGTATTGACTTTTTGTTGCTTGTGTTCTGAATTTGCGCCTCACATTTGGCCTTGCCTGTTGCCATAACTCCAATAAAGATCCACTCACTCTGAAAGTGAGCACTATTAGCTTAGGCATGGTGAAGAAAATAATTTTTACTGACCAAAAATATTTTTTTAATTATTCATTTCAGTAAAAATTTACAGAGACAGTAAGGATATTGCATCTTCCCTTAGTCCTGCCTCATTAGTGTAACAAATGTCACCCAATTCTAATATAACCTAATCTTGATACGTTAACACATAAACATCAGAATTTATAATATGTTACAAATAAGGAATAATAAAAGATACTTCATATCACATCATGAAGGATATTTACATCATTTCATAACTTCCAAACCACTGAGAATCATGGCCTAGCCAAGTTAACACATAATTTGCCAGGGATAAAGTGAATCCATGACAAAGGTTTAACACAAACCACTTTTGGGTGAGCAATGATGAGATAAAGGAGAACTAGATCTTTGGGGGGAAATATCCACAGGTTATCCCAGGAAGAATGTAATGAAACTCAGCTCATTGTTGTTGAGTCGGAATCAACTCATAGCTGACCTTCGAGTGGGTTTTTGAAACCTGTAAATCTCAGAGGAGGAGATTATCTCTCTTTCTCCAATGGAGTGGCTGATAGTTCAACAGCCAGAGGGGCTGGGTTAGCTGTACAACACCCTGCAGACTACACCATCAGGGCTTCCTAGATAATGAAAATGTCCTTAAAAATTACTCACTCAAAGTATTACCAGGAAATGCTTGTCAAGAAATAGATTGTCACTTTGTCAAAAGTCGAGGAATAGAATAAGTCATATGAAGAAAAATGGTTTTTCAGTCTATGGTGACAGTCACATTGAACCTTGTACATAAAAACTGCTCTCTTTCAGAACGGCAGAGCACACTGTACTTTTACTATGTGCTTTCCAATTTTACTACTATTCCTCAATACAATTTATTGTTCTTCTAACACAATAGGAGATTTTGTTCTTTGACAAAGAAGTTACCACACATCAAAAAAGCTCAACTCCCATTGCCATCAAGTCAAATCAGACCCATAGTGATCTTCCGTTAGATTTTTGAGGCTGTATATTTCTACCAGAGGATTTCTTTTCTCTCACGGAGCAGCTGGTAGATTAAAGGTGGTGATCTCTGGGCTAGCAGCCTGGTATGTTATGAACTACACCGTCAGGACTCCTTCTGGAAAGGTCACAGGTATTTAAAACTCTATGCAGCAGCTCTGCTCGGTACACACATGGGATCACGAGTCGGAATCAACTCAATAATTAATAACATATTTACTTAGTTTTTATTATTCCTTTTTATTTCTTTCCCCTCTACCTCATCTTGTTATTCATTATAAGAGACTATTGTTGTTTTGCATTGTCGAGTCAGAACACACTCATAACTGGCCTTCTAGTGGGTTTTCAGAGGCAATACTGAATACATAGGAGGAGACTGCCCATCTTTTTTTCACACAGCAGCTAGTGGACTTGAACTGTGTGCCTCTGGGTTGACGGCACAATTCGTGACCTGCTAGGCCACCAGAGTTCCCTTATAAAGATCTAGCATGTATATAAGATATTGTTTTATTTTTTTCACTTGCTAATGCCCTTTTTTGTTACATCACTATTAGCTCTCAAATAACAGTTTCGTTATCTTCTTTTCATTGCTATTTCTGCTTGTCTTTCAAGAGTAGTAGGTTTTAACTTCATAAAGATTTCTCTTGGAAATCCAAAATCTCTGTAAATGTTTATTAAAATTAAAGAAAAGAAAAAAAAATATTTCTCTTATTGCTGTAAGTCATGAGTTTCTTTTTCCCAAAGCTGCCTTTGTTTGGATCAATCAAATACAACTTAAGTTAATTGGTAGTAGTTGGCTTTCTTCATAGTTTCTTGCTGTGAGGGACCTCTCCAAAGTACTGAAGAGCAATGGTGTCTTTCTGGAGACTAAGGTGTGTCTGATACAGACCATGGTCTTTGCTATCACTTGTTATGCATTAGAGAGTTGGACAGTGAGTAAGGAGCATAGAAGGAGAATTGATGGCTTTGAGATTTCGTGCTGGAGAAGAGTATTGAATATACCACCGACTGCTAGGAAAACAAACAGATTCATCCTGGAAAGGGTTAAACTGGGCGGCTCCTTGGAGGCAAGGATTCTGAGGCTTCGTCTAACATACTTTGGACATGTTGTAAGGAGGGACCAGTCCTTGGAGAGGGATGTCATGCTTGGGAGGGTGGAGGGACAGTGCAGGAGGGGAAGGCCCTCTATGAGGTGGATTGATTCAGTGCCTGGGGTAGGTGTGTCAGAGACAGTGAGATTGGTACAATATAGAGCTGGGTTTAGGGCTGTTGTACCTAGGGTCGCTGTGAATTGCAGCACATAACAATAACAACATATAGTAGTAGGTTCTGTAGGGTTAAATAGCTTGTCTTGTTTTTCTTTGTATCTTCGATGCTTTGACCCTTTTTTGACAAAACTTAGTTCTAAATTATTCTTACTTCATGCATGAATAGTATAAAATTTTAATATTTCTTTTTGATATCTAAGTCAGTAAAATAATGTCTCTTCTCCCTATTTTTGTCCAATTTCCCTTACAGATTTTCTTTCTGGGAATTATCCTACTTCCAGTTCGAGCCATACTGGTCGCATTGATCATCCTATTGGCATGGCCGTTTGCTGCAATTTCAACAGCATTCTGCCCTGAAAAGCTGACACACCCAATAACAGGTTGGAGGAGGTAAGAAAGAATTATGCCCAAATAGTAAGTAAATCAAGATAAGGAAAGATTTATGATCAGTTGATAAGTGATTTACAAGCCTATCTAACTGCTATTACTTATTTTTAAGAATTCTTATTGCTCAGAAGAAACTGACCTTAATGAATCATATGTAGAAATTACAACTCAGATGCATTCTGATAATTGTCTTGGAAGTCAGAATTTCCTAATGTCAAAATATGTGGTTTTCTGAGTTGAAGCTAAAAAGTGATGCTGCTTTTTATTTTTTATTCTGGAAGATAACTAATTAATGTATCTGGAGCAAGTGCATCTGCAAAATACTTGGCTTTCTTTTGCTATGTCTCAGTATTCTCATTTGGTTTTGTCCTTTAACAGTAACATCATACTCGATAAACAAGTTTTACTATGGCGTAAGTAAGTGATTAATTTGATAAAGTGGTATAATTTAGTGATCATAATATTATAGGCTCTTTAACTACTTTAGCAACTGCTATTAATAAAGCTTTATTTGTTTTTATTAAATAACAGCCTGTTTTTTTTTAAACATTGCTGTTGTTGTTATGTGGCATTGAATAGTATGGAGCTGATGCTTATTGACATAGTATTACAAACAGACTGTTTATTTACAAAGATACTGGTAGAAGTTAATTCCTCTTAGACAGAACTAAGCTATGGCCATCTGTACTCCTGAAAGTGGAGGCTCTTAGTGCAGGCTCTGTGGCTTCTATAGAAATCCCTAAGCTGAGCTTTAGAGAACTATTTAATTCTCTGATGCTGTGCTTTTTGGTTATGGTTTGGTTTTAGTCCACAAAGATCTGCTCCCTTCATCCACCTCTCAAATTAGGATGTATCCTTGAAACTTTGATATTCCCGGGACTTGTAAAGAAATAGTTATTTACTGTTCAGTTCATGTTGTGCTGAGAAAAAATCAAAACCACAATAACAGAAATCTGGTTTGCAGTGGAACTGGACCAGTGATTGCAATGTCCCCGGAGAACTAATACCACCTCCATCCTTGCAAACCATTATCCTCTGTTTCCTCACTCAACACTGCCCGGACTCACTCTAATGGATTTCCCCCCATACCTCAACTAGTTCCTTTCAGATTATCTCTTTAGTTTCTTGAATCTTTAGTTAGAAGGTCCTGAGCTTCTAATAGATGTGATGGGAAAATTTAGAAATGGATAGCGGTGATAATTATACAATATCATTAATGTAATTCATGTCACTGACTCATGCATGTAAAACATGCCGGTACATGAAAGAAATGAATCCAGAAGACGAATCCAGTAGAAGTTCTCGTTCATTGCTGTTGGATCTTGAAGACTCACAGTTGTCCCTCCATTTGATTTCTGAGGCTGTAAATCATGCAACAGATAGTCTGTCTCCTGCTAATCACCAGGGAGGCAAGTGTGGCCTTTGGGCTATTAGTGTAACTCATCACAGACCACTTAATAAGAGCTCACTTAGTGTCATTACTGTTGTTGTGTGCCATTGAGTCCGAATCGACTCACAGCTGACCCCCCAGTGGGTTTTCAAGAGGCAGTAAATCACAAAGGACTTGATTGTGCTTCCTTTTCCTGTGGAGTACCTGGTAGATTTGAACTGTGTGTCTTTGGGTTGGAAGCACAGCGTCTTATCAGTAGGCCACCAGAGTTCCCCTAAGAAGTGTTAAGCTATAAAACTTATATTCTTATCAATTAAGACAGTATCGGTTCCTCACCTCAAACAAGTAATATTGCAGTTATTAAGTTGCACCAGATTTTTAGCCATTCTATTAAAATTTAAACAATAATGTATAATTACTTTGAACATAGGAAACTTTTTAGGATTTAGTTGTCCGAAGCTACATTATTGTAGATGTTGTTGTTATATTGTTATTGTAGGTTAAAAAAAAAGTAGTAGCTTCATCTGATATACTTTGGGCATGTTGCAAGGAGGGACTAGTCCTTGGAAAGGAACATCATGTCTGGGAGGGTGGAGGTACAGCGTCAGAGTGGAAGACCAATGGGATGGATTGATCCAGTGACTGGGATAATGGGGGGTAGGTGTGTCAGAGACAATAAGATTGACACAGGATAGAGATGGGTTTAGGACTGTTGTACATAGGGTCGTTATGAGTCTCAGGCGACTGGATGGCACATAACAACAATAACAGTATGTATGAGAATTCAATGGGGGAATAGCCTGTTATCTGTATATAAATAGTACTTTTATTTCTAAATCGAAGAGGAAGAGAGGGTACAATCATTTTCCTGTGCCCTCTGGAAAAGTAATTTGTTTTCCTGTGTCTCACTTCTCCTTGTTGTGAAATAAAAGTCGTAAGAACTTCCTCTGTCGTTAGCTGACAATAGCTCCTTACGGGATTATTACACAGGAGCTCTGGTGGTGAAGTCTGCAATTGTGTTGCCTGCTAACCCTAAGCACACCCAGTGCTATGAGTCAGACTGTCTCAATAACCATGAGCATATTGTTACAAGAATGTTTTGATATAAATACATCACTCACTGAGCTCCAACTCCTTGCAAACTCATGTAAAACAAAAGAGAACATTTTAACAGCTGTAGATTTTAAAAGCTTTAGAGTCATTGTAGGTGAGATACATTTTTGTTTTGTTTAGGCTTTTTCTTATAAAGGTCCTGCTTCACATATAGAGATGCCCATCTGTGTTTGCATTTCTAGGAAATAATAATAATCTATTTCCTCAATCCAAAACTGAGACTCGATCTTACTTGTCTTCATGTGTTGCATTTAGCTCTTCTTTGTTCCCTGCCTAGTTCCCAGCACAGTTTGACCAATTAATTTTTTAATGGCAAATTTGTTGTTGTTGTTAAAGTCAACAACTACATTTCTACATGGTTTATGGATTGCTTTCTGTCAAGGATGCGAGGTAGTGGATTTACTTGTTAAGACTTTGGATGATGTATATGAACTCTGGTTATATAAATAATGAGTCTTACTTTAAAGGAGTTATTCCTAAATGAACTCTGAGAACAGTTTCAACATCGTTGTTGATATGTGCCGTCAAGTCAAATGTGACTCATGGTGACACTGTGGACACGAGGTCTGGACAGTGCCCTGCCCTGTGTTATCCACACATTCTTTGATGTGCTCCAGCACATTGCTACAGTTACTGGGTCAACCTGTTTATCTCAATATTAAAGTTCTAAAAATGTTTTGGGAGTTAGTAGTACTATTATTCATAGAGTTTTCCAAAGGCCAAGTATCTCAGAAGTGGATGGCCAGTCCTTCTGAGTCTGTCTTAATCTAGAAGTTCAACTGAAACCTGTGTACCATGGGTGGTGACTTGCTGGGATTAAAATACCCATGACCCAGCTTCCAGCATGAGAATAGTCAGCAATCTACCTCAGCACAGTAAACTGACAGACAAGTAGTGTACTCTTAAGAGCAAATTATGAACAAGCAAGCAGACACTTGTGCAAATTACAAAGTAAGCAGCACCATACAAGCCATTCCTCCCCACCCCCCATTACAGCAAACTAGCAGATAAATGCTGTACCTCTAATGTGGTTGTTGTGTTCCATTGTGTCAGAGCCTCCAGCAGGCTTTCAGAGGCAATTTATTCTAATTCCATCACAAAGCGGCTGGTGGATTCAAACCATGTACCTTCAAGATTGCTGCAGAGTTCCTTACCACTAGACCACCACAGCTCTCTGTACCCCTAGTGTTGTTGTTATTGTGTACCATTGATTTGGAACTGATCCATAGCTGACCCTCCAGCGAGATTTTGGAGACAGTTAATTGCACAAGAAGAGTTTGCCCAACCTTCTTCTGTGTAGCAGCTGGTAGATTAGAACTACGTGCCTTTGGGATTGCAGTGCAGCTTCTTACCACTAGGCCACCAGAGCTCTCTCTCTCTCTCTTTTTTTTTTTTAAATTTTATTATTTTTGTGTGCGTGTACCGTCAAATCAGATCTGACTGGTACAGGAGGAGATTGTCCCTCCTTCCCTGGCAGAGCATCTGGTGGATTCGAACTGTGCAGCTCTGGGATTTAGTTGCAGCTCTTTGC